CTTACCTCCACGTGGTGCACCCTGGGCAATATATACTCATACGGCAAAAAAGTCTATTAACCGGCAGTTGACTTCAAACTACCAAGGCCCCCCTGTATGACATATTCGACCACTTCCACAGTACTACAACACATTTTTTTCTAAATTTTCAACCTTCGTCTTTGAAACCCTCTTCAGTTCCCCTCCTCTCGACCTTTTTTCACTTTGATGTTCCTTCCCCTCTGTGAAGCCTGAAGTCAACTAAAGGCTTAATGATAACCATCAAAACGCCTGCCATTTGATATAAATAAATAAATAAACTTTTGATTTAGCTGAGAATAGTAGTGGAACGTAATTCATTAACCAAAATTCGAAATGGCACACCAAAGAACAAACAACAAACACAAATGAGATAGTAAACTAGCTAAGTACAATATTATTAACCTAAAATTTTCCATTCGAAAAACGGACAGGAAGGTCTAAAACTACAATAGCATAAATTACGACATTTTAAAATGTTTTAACAATAAAAGAAATCCATCTGAATAGGATCACACAAAAATACAGCCTATGACAATCACACATAACCACCTAAAGCACATTCTAAGGTTTAAGCACACACACATAGATTAAGTAACCAATAAGCTCTGATTCAATAGCATGAGATTATATCGTTGGTAGAAATGTTACGTAACGATCACTAACCACTGATACTAAGCAGTGCATAAACTCTGAAACACATTAAAAAAGACAATATTAAGTAACATAAAGGTAACCCAAAGGCAATAAATGATGAAAATCAAAAGCTAATATACCTGTATCTTAGAACTTGTAAGAGTCATCTGTCCCTTTCGAACGATTTTTGTGTAGAGAGCATTGTTAACCTCCCTATCACGACACCACCGACGTATGTCGTCAACAGCTTCCCTGAGCATAGTAATGAAGATTACAAAGCAAAGAGGTGCCCAATAAGTATAGATGTAGCCAACTCGAAGCGGTTCGATGAACTGTGAGCAAGCCATGATGAGGAAAATCAGGTTAAGGAAAACGCTGAATTGCTCAAAAAGCACCTAAAGCATAGAGGCATATTTAAGGCGCTACATTAAAAAGGGAAAGAAAGAAAGAAAAAAGGAAGGCAAACTCACAAGGGGAATAAAAGTGAGGATGTTATATTTGTTGTTTCTAATAACATTTGGGGGCAGATTGTGAATACGATTGGGACGTCCAATACAAACCATTCGAGAATTGTATTCTTTCTTTCGTTTACATCTTGAACAGCACTTTTTGAAGAAACTAAAATATTAAGTACATAAAATAAAATGAATTGCATTCAAAGTGCAAAGAAAGTAACAAATAAGGGAAATAATCACTGGACTAATTACTTTCTACAAGAATAATCACAAATTCCACAGCATTTTTTTCTAGGACGTCCTGTAGCAAGTAGGGAATCATGCGAATTCGCGGGTCTCATATTCCCCGAAACTAAACTGCGCGCGCATGCAAAAGCAGTCAGTTATCAATTAAAACGCATGACCTTGAAATATCTAATTAGTCAAGACACAGTAAAAACATCATGTTTCAATTATTAAACCAGAATTTTTGAAAATATATTAAAAGGAAAAATTTGTGCGTTGACGCACTGGATTCTTTCCATGAAAGGTTGATAAAATCTATCACAAGTACTAGACGCATTTAAGTATTCAAGAACTGAAAAATAAAGTATCCTTTGTGTTATGAAATTACTTTGTGCAGAAAAATATAAAAAAATTAAGGAAAAATCCTCATATCGATATTTGAAAAACAGTTCCTCGGACAATATATGAAGTACTAAAAAAAATACCAACTTCGATCATGCAAACTGCAAAAGCCACTTTCAATAACATGCATTTCTACAGGAATCAAACACAAAGCTTTAGATTAAAATAGGAAAAGCGCACTTATCGTGTGTAGTGACAAATAAATGAATAAAAAATACAACATTTACATTAATCTGTCAGTGTAATAATAAAACTTACTATATATATAGGTAATTAGTCGTGCTAAATTTAGACTGCTTGGAACATGGAATATGAGTCTTAAATGTCCAATGAATATATTATAGTGGGATAAAACTATAAATCGTGTAAAACGCACTGATTTACCAGACTAGTTTGTTAAGAACAGAAAAGAGAGGATAGATAATAGCCATCACAGTGGAATGAACATGAATTATAGCTGCCACGTGGTTTCACAGTCGTCAGATAAAGTAAGCGGGTTGCGAAAAGTGATGTTATCATAAGCTTTAAAAGAGTGATAAAGCTCAATCTTTAAAGATATTTCATAAATAGAATTCAATCTAACAATGATAAATGGGAATAGTAAAGTAGAAGAGAGAAAACACGAGAATTTTTCCCGGCTTCGCGAGATGGTGACTGAAACAGCAGAAAAAAGGAACTAAGGAAAGGTGAAAGCCTTGAAAACGATGAACCGAAACTCAATTTGTAGTAAGTGGTTCCATTTTAATACTCGAGCACTTAAATGACATTCGGTTTGAGCTTAACTGTCTTGAGAAGTATTTGAAAGCAAAGTAGAATTCGGAGATTTAGATTAAAAAAGTGGCATTCTGTGGGACACGTTATCGCTGTGTGCGTCATCGTATGCCTGCATGTCTGCTCGCCAGGATTGGGAGGTGCGGCCGCACAACTCTGTGTGAAGCGACCGTGCAACAGTGACCAATCATTAACCTCTGTTTGTTTAAAATAATCTCCCATCCTGATCATGAGTAGCTCCCTGCGTGTACACTCACCTTATCCGCAATATACGTCCTGAATAAACGTGCTCCGTGCTACACGTCTGTTTCCTTTTATAGCTGGACAATAGCTTAGTTGGTTCTGGGAGTCTAGCTAGATGTAGGAGGATCTGCCATAGAGATTTTTGAGTCAGTCAGGTTTACTAAGGTAGCAATCCACTACAAT